CCCCCCAAAAATTCAATTTTGACCCAAGTAACTTGATTTTGGGCTTGATCCAGTAATAGATAGCTCCTTACCGGCCCAAAAAGTATACGCCACGCATAAACGACGTCATTTCATGCTTAAATTAATTCTCCTTAAAACTTCTCGTACCGCCGATCGCCACCACTACCGCCGCCGCCGATCTAGGGTTTTGACAAGCCGGTGATATTTTTTTCCAGAATGGAGGACAAAGGCACAGTTACAAGCCTTAAAACCATACAAGAACTAGCAGTAGAAGGGCAAAAGCATTTAGAAGATACAATAGAAGCAGCACATCAAATTCTCTCCGCCATGAACGATGAACTCTGTAATCCATCACTTTGGTCCACTCTAAATACAGCTGCTTCTTCTGCGTCGGCGTCGGCGGCGGGTGGAGGAGTTGGTGCTAGTGCTGTTTTGAGTAACGGACAACAGCTCCATACAAACGGCGACATTTCGTCTGATACTTCTTCGTCTTCTTCTGCTTCAGCTCAGCATTTGGATATTGGTGGTGGTGCTCTTGATGAATCTCGTCTGCGTTATAAGTCCTCTATTGCTTCCTTGCGTTCTGTTCTTACGGCAATTTCTAATTCCCAAAAGGTAATTCTACGTATAGAAATGCAAAAAAAATTTAACATTTTTTTTTAATTGTGTGATATTTGTAATTTGTATGGTTAAGATAGTGATCTAAGTAAAAGTTAGTTTGATGTAATCATGAATCAACTATGGCTCGATCATAAACTAGTTGGATTCAGCTATATGAATGAATCACTTCTAGTGAAGTCCATTAAACAGAAAATGTGTAAAAGACTGGGGCGTTGGTTCAATGCCAAAGGTAGATCAACGTGACGCAACGAGTTTGGATCCAACGTAGATAACCTCTAGTTTTAGAGGTTCCCAAAGGTTAAAACTATTGGATACTGGAGTGAAGTGGTTCCATAAGGATATGGAAGATTCGTATACCTCCTCCATCAACTAGCTTGAGGTAGGTGGTGTTGGTGTTCTGTTAGATGGTAGTTTTGATTGGGAATGAAACTAAAATAGATATTCTAGAAATGCAGTTCCTTCGGAGTACTACAGGAGAGAAGCATTATACAGTTTGAGCAGCAAAAAAAGACGTTATCTAGCAATAAAGGTAAATACAGTGTGAAGAGAGTTTAGTGATTGATCTTAATAAAAAAAGAAAGGGTTAAACAGTTTTGGTGATTGATCTGGGAAAGACATCATGTGGTTATATACTAGCACAATTTGCCTTCACCAATATGAGCAACATTTGTACATGGCAATTGTATATTTTGATGTTCTAGATATGGTGATAAGATTTCTTGACTTATGAATATAATATTCAGTTGTTTGATTATCCCTCGTCATCAGCTGATGAAGCTCAACTGTGCTGCTTACTATTTTTTTGATTTGTCTTATATCCTTCTGGGTTTGTGGGTGGCTGTTGGGGCCTGGGGGTGGGGGGAGATATTTAACTATGTTTTCCAGGTTGGTCTTGTTTCCGCTGTTTAAACGCTCATGAGATGTAAGTGTTAATACCAAGATAAACTACTGCATGTTATCCTTTTCAAGAAAGACTTATCACTATAATCACATCTCAAAGTCCTTGGTGTTGGTGTATGGATTGCCTTACATTTGTGCATTTGGAGAATCTGGTTAAGCATTAAGAATTTTGTTTGTTTCTATACAGTTTTAACAAATAAATCACTGATGTTGAGTGCCTTTTTGTTGCTCAACATATGTCCGACTGCACATTAAATGAGTTCTTTTAGTAGCTTCTTTCTTTAGAATTGTGCTAGTATTTGCTCCATTTTATCTGCAAGTTGTCAAACTCTCCTTCGTGTTGTCTCAATTCTCATGATTAACAAGTAATATTTTCTTGTACGTTTTGGAAAATTGTTGACTTATTGTATGATACTTCACACTCATTACTGGCTTTGTTAGCTAGGCAAAAGCATTGGAAGCTGCTTCTGCTAGTGGTTCACTATCTGCAGCAGATCAAGCTGAAATTGAGCAGCTGGAAGACCGGGCCTCTTCATTAAAAAAGGTATTGATGACATATCAAGTTTTGACATCTTAGAATTTCCTTGGATTTTTTTTGTTGGTTTTTGGGATGCATGGTGGGTGGGGGTTGGTGAAGCGATTGTTTGTGCCAATATTTGAACCATGACTGATGTCTTCCTTGATCCATTGTGTAATTTCTTATTCATTAAAACGATATTGAGGTAAACCACATGTTACATTTCCATTCCGGACAGCGGACACACCCCAAAATATCTTATTGTACAAACTTTCTGAAGTCTCAATATTTGTCACAACCTCAAATCTGAACAATGTGATTTTGTGATAACATATGAAAACTTGGTTTCGACATCCTCTGCTTGTTGTACATACTGTATTATTATTAATTTTATTCCTATTACGTTAAAATTAGTCAAATTGTGTTTCATTTGCTTTATGTCTTGTCTCCCCCTAGTGGCTATGAGAAGTCCTCAAATGAAGGTAGAGTTTTATCATACTTGAGTGCATGCCTAAAAGTTTTCTATTATCTTACGGTAGTGAAAAAATCAAGTTGCTATTGTGGTCAAGATTTAAAGCATATTCTATTGTTCTTACAAATTGCAGGAGCTTGTAGACAAGAACAAGCATCTCAAGCTTCTGATTGATCAGCTTCGAGATCTTCTTGCTGACCTATGTACATGGCAGAGTCCCTGTTCTACATGACTCTGCTGCTATAACTTCAAGCAGATAATTAAACCGGTGAGGTGTTAGAGATGCCAAAAAAGAAATGTATTCAATCCTAAGAAACTGTTTTATTTTTCCCTTCTTTTGTACAGAAGTTACTGCTAGATTTAAACAATTGATCATCGTCGAACACCTGCAATGATGCTGCTCGCGGTGCTACTGTTGTTTATGTTTAGATGTTCTGTCTGGTCTGAAATGAGCTGAAAATGTGTAGAATATATGATCTGTTAGGGTGGGAAGACTGAAGAGGGAAAAGGAGAAACCTTTTGATCTTTAACTAATTATGCTAAATTTGTTTTGTTGTACACTATAATTGTCTCCTTGCAGCTAATTGTGCCTTGGTTTGCTCTGTTAAAGAAGCCCGTGAAATTGTTTAGTAGCATTACAAATCTATCATAGAGCTTTGTTCATGAGGCCTCAAAAATGAAAAATAATGTTGGAGACCTTATAAATACATCGTATTGTAGATGTCTATTATATTTTTTTTTGGGGACAAGTTTGAAATCAAATAGACAGGTTGCAAGTAGCTTCTTGAAAATCCTTGCAGTGCTATTTCTATTAATTTGCACACTTTTAGATAAGATGGTCACACTCTTCAATACAGTTATCAGAAATCCCATGATGTGTTTACACATCACATCCCTAGCAAAATCAGCATTGACACTTGATCACAGCACACAGCCATGTCCACTCTGTGACTGGCTATACAAAAGTGTATGATTTGGTTCAGATGATAAACAAGATGACTCTGATGAACGGATCAAACACAAATAGAGCCTTCCCTTATCAGTTATCACCAGAACAAACATTACATTTGGGAATCTCTAATTTGTCCTACCACAAGGGATTATACTGGATCAAATTATGGTCAGTAAAGTCATTTTCAGCTTGGAATTGGCAAGACATTCTTCTATTGATAAAACTTCAAGATCGAATTAGCACAGCAGATAAACAAGACAGAAAAACTTAAACTCTGTTCAATTTGTCATAAATCTTACCTACCAATATATTGCAGAATGCAACAAAACATAGGAAAAATGTTTGAATCATTAAACAAATAAAATGGAATACTAGATAGAGAGGAATGGAAGATACTTTGAAGACAGATTCGAAACATCTCAGAAAATCAAGTGGAACTGCATTGCAACTTTCTGTTTTGGTGTAAAGAACACTGTATAGAAGAAGTTGAACAGTTTTTTTGGGAGGTCTCCAGCATGTTCTTAGTGCTGAGGATTGAGGAATACTGCATACCAGTTTCCAAAAGAAAAAAAAAACAGCTCCAAGATATGAAAAATGGGTTCTTGATTTACAGGAAATAGAGAAAGAAAGAAGGGGGAAAAGATAGAAGGGAAGGGAAAAGGAATAAAAATGAGGGTCTGTTGTCCATCTAACCAATTCATCTTATCATATGTGTACACAAACACTAGTACTACCATGCAGTGCAATTCATCTGTCTGAATGGAGAAAATTTAGCTGTTAATCTATGTTGATCAAAGGGAAAATGAAGTAAGTTCTTTTATTTCTAATTAAGTAGCAGTCACTCTATGTATGTATGACTTTGGGTTTGGGAAAATCCCCCTTACAATATTCAGATATCCACCACAATCAGTATCCATATCAGGAGATCTCAGAAATCAATGGCAGCTTTGTTACATCAAAATGATAATATAACAGAGGGGAAACACAATAAGAAAAGAATGAGATATTGATACAAAACGAAGTAGACATATAAAATAACCAAGTCTAAACTAGAAGCTTATTGTGTTTTTTCTCTCGGCAGGGGCAACACACTGCCATAATGATTGATAAGGTGGAATACTAGCTGCATCCACCCCAAGTAATGAAAGGCTCCGAGCATATTCCTGAATATCAAGAAATAATTGCATGCAGATTTTGTCAGTTTCAGACAAATTGTGATCCGAAACATCTGAGCTTGCTCCAGCTCGTCTTTGAGCACCCAAACGTAGTTTTTGAAGAGAAGATTCCGTTCTTCTACTCATATTCACAAGTTCTGAAGTTAAATCATTGTAACGGTGAGTTATTTCCAAAGCAGCACCTTGCAAGAGCTCATTCCTCGTCTCATTTGTCAGACATGTTGCAGCCCTTTCTCCCTCCAAAAATTCCTTCAACGGACGCAATACTCCAGAGACATATGGAGAATGCCTGACTGGGAGAGGCTTGTTAGTCATCCTGTAGGTAGCAGTTATCCCTTTCAATTGCCTCAAGTCCTCTACAGATTTCTCAACTATTGTCTCAATGATTGCACTCATCACAATTGGTAAAAGACCCTTCAGGGACTTCCCACCTTGTAAAATACTCTGTTTTACAAAATCACAAACTTCAGCAGGGCATGACTTGAGCAACTCAAGTATGTGTTCAAGGTAATCACCACACACATCCTCCCCCAAACGGTTCAAATCGTGAACTACGTATACTAAATCGTCAGGGACTGCAGAAATAGCCCATTCAAATCCTGGGTTTGAGCCCACATTACCAGCTTTACGAGCAGCCAATCCGGCAGATAACCAGCTTGAGAATCTGGACATAAGTTGCAAAGACAAACGCAAGAACCTGTCTGAGCAAGATAGGACAAGAACATCATCTCTCCAGCAAGATCTTAAGCACTCTAAAAGAGCAATACTCTGCTTCAAAATCAATTCTTGAGGCTTCCTCTGATCAGAGGCCACTGGGACAAGACCAGCAACACTAAGTGCAGAATCAAGAGCCCCAGCTATCTCTTGGAACCTCAATGAGAAATAGACACCCACATTCCATTGCTTCATGAACTCAATATATGCAGCTTCAGACCGAAACTTGACTACTTCAGATCGTGAGGGACAGTAACCTTCTAAATGTGCCAGGAAATCCAAGCTTGCTTTGTAATTTTTTAGAAACACAGTAGGCCTTCCGGGAGAGAACACCACTGGTTTTCCTTTTTGGATAGCGGAGTGAACCTCTTTAAGGATAGAATTCGCAAGGAAGCTAGAAACATGTAGACCCGAATTCTCAATAGAGGATATATCCAATAGAAACTTACAATCATCCTCTATATATTGCTTGATCTTAACATAATCCTCCTCAAGTTCATGTCCAGATGATCCACCAACAACTCCAGATGGATTTTGCGGGATAACTTTTTGGATCAAAGGTCCCACTATAGTCGATCGAAAAGTTTCCTCCGCATTCTTGGTATTATCAATGGCAGCATACGCACGCAGGCAGTTATATATAGCATTAGCATCCCTATATTCAAGTCCATCTACAAGACAATGTCCTAAGCTTGTATCTAATAAAGAACTAGCATTCTGTATTCTCTTCTCCATATTCTCAATAAAAGGCATATTCTGTGCATGAGAAATATAAAATTTTAGCCTATTCATTTCACTAGCAATTCTCTCTAGTAACATACTTTGAGTTTCCCTCAAATTAGATCCACTCTCAACATAATCAGTTTGTCCACTTGGTAACTCCTTAATCAATTTTTCAACTTTAGAAACAACATGAAAAGTATCAAGCAAAAGTTCAAGAACTTCCCTGGCTTCTCCAGCATCAGCTCTTTGTTTAAGCCTGTTTTGTAAAGCAGCAAGAGACCCTTCAACAGCATTACGAAAACCATCAATTTTCTCCCTGATCTCAAACAACGGAGCCCTCATACGTACAACAGAAGCATCAACATCAGTAAGCTTCGTACTAAGGCTAACAAAATCAGCATAATCTCGATTGATGAGATCCACAAGGTCACGCTGAAGCGACGTGAAGTGAGAACGGAGCTCCGAACGGAGAGTTTCAAGGGGAACAAAGGTGCGTAAATCGGAGATATATGATTCTGGATCGAAATCTTGAGATTGGAACAATGTGGGGTTTAGCCATTGTGGTGGATTTGGGTCAGTTGGGTCTCCGAATAGGTCTGTGGCGGAGCGTGGTGGCGCGTGAGTGGACTGTGGTGAAGGGGGTGGTGGGGATTGAAGATCTTGCATCTGGGTATTCGCTAAATTCGATCAAATTGCTCTGAATTTTGAGGATATGCAGAGAGTAATCAAGATCTGAAAGTGAAGAAATGCAAAATTTCTATTGAAACTCTTCACTCTGTGTTTACTTAGTAGAGAAGAATTGAAAATGATCAAAATGGTGCTTAATGTATGAGATTTGGTTGCATTTGGTCCTTTGACTTATGTAAATATGAGTGATTTCTAATATGTATAATCTCACTTCGAAATTACATTGATTATGTTGTTATAATTAATTTGGTTTTATGTCGTGTTAGCAAGGATAGTTGTTTGTTTTCCCAATATAATATTATGAGGTTTTCAATATTTTTCTATGTATATAATCTACTTAGCTCAACTGAAAATATTATAAATTTTCTTTTATATTTCATTGAATATAATTTCTTCAAATTTTGTTTCTCTATATCGAAAGTATTTTTTTAAGTGAGAATTAGGAAATTTGATGTGTATTGTGAATTCAAATTGAATGATATTAGGAGATATTATTTTGTAGCTTATTAGCTTGTGTGAAGTACATATATTGAGAGTCTCTGCTTGTTTCAACAATAATTATTTTAAGACTAGAATATACTTCAAATATATATTTCTATAAACAAAAGTGAAGACTCGTAGGTTATGATCCCAATTAACTAACTGGTAGACCTATAAGAAATTCAACTCACAAATACGTATCAGGTCATATAAAGAGTGACAAAATATTAAATGAGGCTCTAAGATAAATAATATACACTTTATTTACCAAGGGGTAAAAGTGTAAATAGATATTACTTAACGGGTTAATGATTTATACCATAAGAAATTTGAGTAATCTTTCCCCATATTAATAAACCATTGACTATAAAATTTAAATTTAAATAAGTTCACCAATTCAATAACTCAATATCAATAAATCAATTTTACGATTGCCTCAGTTACAGTTCAATTTTAAGCAACCTTATGAATGACTTTATATAGTGATGAACCACGATATAATTATAAAATATTATATTCATTACAATAATCCAATTATATAACATAATGTATATCAAGAAAGAATACGTAACAATCATCCAAACAAATCAGTCTAAACATATGCAAAGTGCAAGTGCAACTAACTTTTTCCCAAAAATCAACTTCAATCCTCATAACTTTTTTTAATTACACTTTACCCCTCTTATTTCTTACCCTTGTGGCATTCTCCACCTTATAAAACCAACAGAAGACTCCCAAAGGCCAAAACTCCTAAATTTCATCAATCAACGAAAACACAAGTGTGTTGTGGTGTATGAAGTGAAAAATCGCCATGGATAAAGGTAAAGCAGTGATGGGTATGGGCCGTAGATGGGCAGTAGACTTCACAGATAACTCTACTTCTCCTCCCTCCCGTGACATCCCTGATCCACTTGGATTCACTCGCGCTTCTCAAGATCAGGTTTTTTTTTTGCTTTACCCAAAATTATACACGATTAGTTGATTTAGAGCTTGTGGGTTTGTAGTGGGTGCAGTTTATTGTATATATATATGTGCTTAATTTTTGTGTTCTGGATCGGCCGCTGGATTCATGTTTCACTTGAGTTTAATAGACGTGATGTTTATGCTTTTTGTTAGGATGATTCAACTCTGAGTCGTGAAAAGAAGAATGCTGAAGCCAATTGGAAGTCCCAGGTAAAAAAGCTGGTTTTTTTTTGTTTGTTTGTATATTTTGTTTTATAATGATTTTTTTGATAGGAAGACTTCGAGTTATCTGAATGAATGCTCCATAGTTTGTGGTCATGGCTGGATTCACCTCTAGGGTAATGAAGGCCAGTACACCCATTGGGTCCATATATGTATACTTCCCTCTGTTTCAATTTGATTGTCTTAAAGGGCATTTTGATACGTTCTATGTATTTTTAGTTTTAGACCACAAGATTCGAAAGTCTTTTTTACTTTCTTAAACTCCGTGTGAAAACTAAGTGAGTAGTTGAGTTTTATTTGAAAGATTTTTTTGTACTAAATTGGTAGCCTTTGTTGCAAAGGACTTGTGAGGACACTGATGATCTGTGATATATCTTTGTTAGTGGTACCAATCTAGGAGGATTGTGTTGTGATGGGTTTGGTTTTTATATAGCTTTATGTGCTAATTCTACTAATTTGTGACTAGATTGTTGACTTGTTTTAAAGGAAACATGGAACCTTCAAATAAAATGTTTGTTCGTCATTTATTCCATTCTAAGTACTTTGATTAATAGTTTTCTAGCATAGGAATATGCTTTTTAGTGTAAGATTCTTTGCTTGCTTCTTTCGGCCAGCTCAACGGATGAGTGGCCGTGGCTACCCACCATGCCTGACCCTTTATCTTACTATAAGAAGAAAGAGGAGGACAGAATGCAAAAGTATGTGATACAATAGATAACCTTAAGCAGTTTCGCAACCCTCTTGATTGATTAACGGTAGTGAACTGTCATTAGACGGTTTTAAGTTCCATAGATTGATTGTCAATGTGATAAATAGTCAAACCATGATGAATCACAACTAGGATGGTATTGCTGCTTTTATGATTCATTGCATTCATGTATTAGCCTTTGATTTGAGTGTACTATAGTATTATCCTTGCCTATTGCCATGCACCAAGTTGACTGTTTGAAATATCTGCTGCTGCTCAGTGTATGCGTGTGTCTAATTTAAGAACAGGAAAAGGCTTTGGTATCTTCTTACAATCATATGGTTTTTTAATATAAAGTTGAAGAGTGATGGAATTGGGATCTGCTACTCTGGCATTGTTAATGAACTGATAAAGCATGGTAATAATGGATATCTGGATTCTTGAATGCAGAAAGCACTATACAATGGGGATATAAAGAACTTTGAGTTGTCATTTCTTTTGTCATCATACTGGGATCGGTAGTGTAAGTACCAAAACAACTCAGAGGAACTTCAAAGCTCGTGTGTTGTGCCATGAATTGGATTTGGGGAATTATAGTGTGCAAATTACATTAAATTGCTCACACTAAAGAATAATTTCTGAGGAATCTATGTTGAGAGAACGCGAGTGAGAATCAATTTAGTTGCATTCATTACCCTGAGATTATTCCTTCACCTCTCACGTTTGTCTCGTGTTTTTTAATCAGTAGACACTCTTGCTTTACCTTAAGAATTCAAACATAGATAGGAAAAGGATTTCAACTTGTCGACTTTTTCACATGCATTACTGTAGTGTTGGTTCTTTAGGGAAAAGCTAGGTATTATTATATGAACTAACATGCAGAACTTTGCTGCTTTTGACAAAGATTTAAGGGAAGTTTAGTAGAAATAAGATTAATACTTGATAAACAATGTATTTATGATGACCTGAAACTCTATAATGACATAAAGTAACAGGGAGAAGCCAGTCTCATATTTTGGTAAAGTTCCCAGTTCAAATTTTAGCACCATAAAGGAAAATAAAGCATTTTACAGAATCAGAACTATACACTACACAATTGTGAAGATTTTTTCACTGGAAAATTAACCAAGAAATAGGCACATCTTTTTGAAAATTGATGTGTAACACCGAAACCAAACTTTTATTTTAACCTTAAAATTGATTGCTTTTCACAGTGCGACCAAACTCTTGGTAGGCCCTCAAAGATAATTCCCTGGCCAACCCAAATTCAAAGCAGAGACCTCATGCTATTTTGAGCAGCAACATTTTTGAAAACTTATAAAGATGTGGGCTCTAATGAAGATATCATTTGGAAATTCCCTGAAAAGAATATCTTTCCTAGACCGATGTTCTGCTTTTATGATTTCTCGAGTGTCTCTAAATGTAATAGATGAACCTTTTTTTAGTTCTCCAACAGTTATATAGTCAAAATTCCCTTTATTATAAGTTGATTATTTCTCAATTCTGGTTTACAACTAGTAGAAGGTGATTAGGTTTACTGTACATGTTTAGATTTATAGCATAGGTATTAGGATATTCAAGATGATTATGTACTCATTAGGCATTCTATAATTAGGAAATATTCTGTATTTCATGGGGCCTAAGCTCAATATATCAGGAACTCTTCCATTGCTTCACTTTTCACAACAATCATGTACTTAATTTTGATATTCATTGGAACAGAAAGCGTGGGAAGTGGCACAAGCACCTTTCAAGAATTTGATGATGATGGGTTTCATGATGTGGATGGCCGGAAGCACAGTTCATTTGTTTAGCATTGGTATCACAGTTTCAGCTCTGTGGCAGCCTGTCAGTGCTCTTCAAGGTGTTGGGAAAGGTCAGCATCATATCAGAAACTATTGAATTAACTGCTGTATACTTGTGTAGTTAAACTCTGACTAGAGATGGATTTTTTGGCTGAAATTTGTCTCAAATTTAGGCAATTTCATACTGTTTGTACTTTCGCTGAATTAAGCTATGACTTGATTTGGCTTCTCCTTTTATTTCCTTTTACTTATTTCTTCTATTGTTTCCTTTCTGGGGCAGTTTTTGAGCCTTACAAGGACAGCAAAGTGGATCTTCTTGGGCCAAAATTAGTATTTATTGCGCTCAATCTAGTGGGTTTAGGACTGGGCGTCTGGAAGGTAGATATTCATCTGTTTCACACATGTTATTCAGCATCAGTTCTCTGAAGATATTCATCTCTTTCACACATGTTATTTGACATCGGTTTCTCTGATAAGTGGTTTGCTAACATGGAATTACGTATACTTTGCAGCTTAACACTTTGGGTCTTCTTCCAACTCATGCGTCAGATTGGGTTTCATCCTTGCCACCTGCCCAGGTTAGATTTTTAGAATTAGTTGTATATCAACTCCTTTTCACATATATGAATTGAGGCTTAGAAATCTTAGGCTGTCGATACTGTTTGAAATATGTTTCCGAAAGAGATATTGGCATATTCTAGTCTAATATGGGTACATGAGCTTGAGCAATTCTACTTACCCACCAAGTCATTGTCATCGAGCTCCTAGAAAATGGAACTGATGTGGTCCATGAAATAATGAAAATCCAAAGAAAGATTGTGTACTCTGTTATGTTTCACAAAGAGATGCGGCATATTCTTGTCTAATATGGGTAAATCAGGCTGAGCAGTTCTACTTTTCCACCCAGTCATTGTCAGTCATCCTGCTCCAGCTTATGGAAATGGAATATATGTGGTCCATATAATAATGTAAATCCAAAGGAAGTTTTTGCTT